TTCTTTTAGATACGTAAGAAAAGTCTTCGTTTTGATCATTATTGAGTCATTACAACTTATATAGCATAGTGATAACTAAAATTGATTGCTGTAAATTAGTGATATTACAATGTTAATAAAGAAAAAGAGAACCTGAGAAATATTTGACAGAAACAATAGGAGCTGTGGTTTTTTATTTCATACAATTATTCGACTGTGTGTCGGTCAAATTTCTTTAATATTACAATTAATAGTTCATTATAAAACGAATTCAATACATGTAATTTTCTCTAGGAAAACTATTTGCAATAATCTGCTTATACGTTACTAGTATATTAATGTTTCAAATGTAGTTTGCGTCTAGTAACTCGAGTAGTATGCTGTTATTACTCGTGCTATGTCAAGAGTGGCCTAGTTATGTAAATACAGATTCCTCATTTGCAATCTTAGTGAATAATGAATTAATTATTACTAGAAAACTATTATCCAATCAAGAGAAATCGTTAATTACAAGTTTTCCAAATTATATGTGTTAAAGAAAATATGTATTACAACAAATTTTAGGTGGAACTTGCATTTAATAATAAAATATAGTAGGATTTTGATATTTCGGCAAAAGTCAACAAAAGTGAACGTCATATTTTTAAAGGTTCCAGTTCATGGTATGTGATATAAGTTTTTACACATAAAAAACATAAATAATTTTCTTTCAAGCCGCTACTAAGCCATAAAGCTCTTCTAGAGGTATATAATGTCAAAACGAAAACGAAAAAAATATTAAATAACATACGATATTAGACTATTTTACTTATCTAGCTGCATGAGGATACGTTTCTCATGTCTATAGACTGATATAACATTATATTTTCTACGCTAAACAGGTTACAAAATAAAAATCAAGCTTGTCACCATGTTCAAGTCGTAAAAGTCGTTTGAGGAAATGGATTTCATATTACGTTAAAATAAGCAGAGGACATACTGGCAGTTTATAAATGTTCAAGGTTATAAGATCAGTGCACCGTTTAATTAGTGGTTTGCTAAGTATAGCTTTTATATAAAGGTAACTAGCTTTTATACAAGACACTGCTTGTTTGTATTCAGAGATGTTTGAAAAAATTGTCTTCAAACTATCATCATATAAAATTACATAACTAAGCGTGGCTTTTTTATATAAGGAACAAAAATTCAGTCTCACAGGAGAGCTGAAAAACGTTACTTTTGAAAAATGTCTGTAGGTATACCTGCTGATATATCATAAAATTAATAGTATGATTTTTTGGTAATACCTATCCAAAGTTGGTCTCCTAAGCGTGATTATGTATGTGGTTAATTAAAAAGTGGCTGGAACGATTACATTTTAGATGATGAATACACATTAAGGCGTGAGCCTATTATGTTGGTTCAATATATCCATTGATCCGATGGCTCCTATTTTCCTAGTGTTGCGCGAGTCGGCGCCGGCGCACAGAGCGGCTGACGTAACGCACTCTTGTTCTCAATTTCGTTATGGCGATTAAGAAAGCGCTTGTTCCGCGGCCTCGGAGTACTTAATTGCCATCTAGTGACTGCATGAGACGACTGGATTTTAGTGCATTAAAAATTCTCGAAAGGATTTCTTAGTCCGAGATAATTCTGTGTTTATAATATAAAGATTACAATTTTCTGATCGTTCTCCATAGGTTTTTAGGTAAGTGTAATTAAACCTGGTAATAGAAAAAAAAATATTTAAATTTTTTGCAGAGCTATACAGCTGCAAATACCACCAGAACTATTATGAATATTGATTCAGAAGATGTGCCCGAAATCAAGGAATGCTGACGGACTTAAGAAAATGAGGAACAATAGCTCCTTATGAAGATAGCCTTATCATCGAAACTGTGAAAGGAGGTAGAATCCATCACGCGGGACCAGTGCGGATTGGTAGGTGTTAACGACTGCAGGTGCAGCTGGGACCAACGGCTTAACGTGCCTTCCGAAGCACGGGGGAGCTCGAAATAACAAACTTTTGGTCACCCATCCTAAAACCTTAACAAAAGTTGTTTAACTTCGGTGATCGCTTACAGAACAGAATAAATTATAATGTACAATAAATGATATTTAATAACTTAGTTGGATTTACTTGTGTGGCTCTGACATAGTTTCTATCCTTTGATTGCGGAAAAAGCTTACAGCTAGTCAGGATCGGAAAACCTATAGGCGCTATTAGAATTAAGTGCAAGATAAGATTCAGCTTTTCTAAAACAAGGGCTAGTAGTATAAACAAAATACCTACGTCTGTGTTTCTTTGTCGAAGGCAGTGAGCTCGAAATCTAGCGTCCGATTTAGATAAACATCGAATGGAGTAGTTCACCAGGAAGGTTTAGACGTATAATTCATTAAGGGTTTCAGATAAATTGGCTGAAGTATGGCGATTGTTGTCTAAGCTATCGAAAACCAAGCTTACTGGAAACTATATGACCCGAAAAATGCAAGAGTGCGTAACTAAGGCAAAAAGAATAAAATTATGGAAAATTTTAGTAGCGACACTGCAACCTCCACCTTCGCAGAACTTAAAGATTTTTGCTTAGTCATGGTGCAAGTGTTATGTAACTGTCCATAATATACCAGTGTACGGCCTTGCGATGAGTCAACGAGGACGTAACATTTCACTTTCAAATTGGACTTTGGATAACATGAAAATATTCAAAGTCCAAGGTTGACTAATTGGCCATTATATGAAATGACCGATCTATCGTAGGTATGCTTAGATTCTCATACGAAATAATATGTGCGATTATTAGTGTTTACCTGTGTGGCATGTTACAACTTTCAGTTTAGATGCACTTGGCCAATTCGCAAGGTTAGATTAACGGTTGGGAAATGAAATGGGTATTTAAACTAAATTATCATGCTAAATCATGCTGTTTCATAACATCTACGAAACAAACACTTAAGAAATAAATAATCTATTATGGACAGTGAACAGGTTTCTTCGAGCCAAGTGTGAAACTAACATATTTTTATATATAATTTTCAAGTATTATATATAAGGAGCCGTCTCATGTGCAAAATAGTAAATGCCTGCTATAAATGGATTAGCGCCTCCATCGGCGCATTCGTTAGCGATAGTTATAACGTTATAATTTATGTTCAAAGCTAATTAAATTAAGATGGGTGGTTTTTATTATTTTCATAGATACTTATATTTCTATAGATAGTTTATAGGCCCTAACTAATGCCAGGGCACTTGTTAAGCTTGTGTCTCGTTATGAATTAAGGCGAGGTTGTACGAAATTACTCAATTTTTATTCAATTTTATTCTAAGGCTATGTTATGAATATTATAATATCCGCCAAATAAAAATAATTAACGTACCTTTCAATAATTATGGTGATAGAAATAAATCGCAAAGATGATTCTAAATAGGTTTTTTGGATCGATTTTACAAGTGATATGTATTTCATTTTAACTATTTAAAAATCTTTGATTTATTTTTTTTATATAGGTACCATAATTATTTTTAAAAAGCAACCACAAAAAAACTCCATGTTCTAAATTAATAGTAGTTTACGAGACCCTCCCTACCAAAGGTGACTAAAAATATATACCTACCTTTCAACTCAATCGGTCAGACAGACAAACAATCCGAATGATTTCTTTCCATTTCTTCTTTCTCTAGTGTTTATATATTGCTTTTGAATTATCAAATAAGTGTCTCTTACATTGCACCTGATTATCACATAAGTGTCTCTTATATAACTCCAAGGTAAACTATTTGAAAATGCCTTCTGGCATTAAGTCTGCCTTTGTACACTCGTGCATGAAGAGTTATGTAAATAAATACATAGTTGTAGCAAAAACCACATAAGTACACAAAATGTGTTCCATTTATTTACCTCTTTTCTGTGGACAACACTGCACTTTCATTTATTGCAATTGACTCATACAAAAAAGCATTAAAATATCGAACACCAACTTTTAAATAAAAACGAAGAACGTTAATGTTGTTTATTACCTTTGGAAGACCAGGCTGTATAGGCCAAAATCTTTTCATAAATGAGACACTTTAAAAACACACCACACACAAATAGGGATGCAAGGTTTATAATAATATATAGGTATATATATCAATAATTGATTTCACAAAGTTGACTTATCGATACTTTATCGGTTTTGTTAGTAACAAGCTTAAGCAAATAAAATACGATTTAACGTAATTTATAAAAAAAAAATCCAATAATTCGTGGCAGTTACTGAAATTAGAATCAACTTGGAAACTTCTGTGAAGCCTGTTCCTACTTCATATAAAAAAGTAAACGGTCACAATGAGAAATGTCACCACATAGCCACTTTACATAGATTAGGAATAACACATTTTTATAACATTTAACATAAACAATAATGATAAAAAACTACAACAAAACTTAAAATCCAAGTTACATAATTATTCCAGAACGTGACGGGGAATATTGTTAAGCTTTCACAAAATTTCTAGGTGATCAGCTGTTGAATGTTAAAATTTGTATTCAATAAAAACTAGGTAAATGGTAGTGTGAGCAATCTCGTAGAAAACAATAATTCTAACTGATATACATTTACTTACTGATCTTTAGACTTTATTCGATAGGTTTCGATATTTTGGTATTTTTCGTTAGCGAATTTGCAGTTCCTTCTTTATAGACATTTTAGGTGTTGATGTATCGATGTGTATCGGTTTTCGGATATATCGTTGTGTTCACACCTTAGAGACAGTGATTACCAGTCACTAGAACATATCTTTTTCAAATGTCCTTCATTTAAAGCACAAAGGAAAATACTCTTTCAAGAATTACAAAGAATGAAGATTTTTAACGAGGAAACCATCCCGCGCGACTTAAGAAAACTCTTATCAAACATTGACAGTTATGTTCCTGTATACAGATTTGTCAAAAATACAGTTCAAAAGATTTAAAGATCAAGAAAATCCAGGCAGGGCTGTATGGACCTAACGTCCTTTGCCCGTCCCAAACAAGGGGAACAAATTAACCAAAAAAAAAAAATATAACGTCAAAATCTGCGCGGGTGAATTTGTCTTCCGTCATCACATAAATAAATGTTTTGGTTTTACAAAAATGAATTAGCCATTCTCATGATTTTTTTTTTCACGGAGGGAAAATAATTTGCATCCTTGTGTATTTTTAATAGCATTGATTCATTTGTAGTTACTTTATTTTCTAATGTCTCGTGTATTGATTTATGAAGTTAGTCCACTCCATAGAAGTATTCGTAGTTAAAAATTCAGATATTGTAGGGCAAAACATGGCTAAACAGGTGGCAGAGGTGGAAATTCATGCTACCACAAGTTCTGATAAGGATTTAGAAGACCTAGACATCAGCGTACATCAGGTTGATGACAGACTGTTTCTGGGTAGGCTGAAATATTATCAACGTTATTTAATCAACTTTCCTTTAGTTATTACATAATGATATGGGCTGTTCTTATTTTTTAGGTAATTTGGCTTGTGCTAGAGATTACAAAACATTACAGGAACTCCAGATAACTCACTTAATGACATTAGATTTGGTGCCATTACCGAGAAGTGTATTAGACCACACTGATCTCACTTTCAAATTTATTAAATGTAAGTGTTTGTTACAGTTTCTATGGAATTTCACACAATATTATTGTATAGTACAAGGTTCTTATTGGGTAAATAACCACTTATAATTTATTGAAAAAATTGTTGTCTCACCAACTGTGCCACCTTTTAAATAATAAAATATAGCATATGGCTGGACAAAAACTGTAGCTTAAGTGTCTGTCTATCTATCTTTATAAAAAATAAATTAGCCCAATATTATTTGATTAAAAACTACATCTATACAAATGCATCATTACTTGAATTAAGTTCTGTGTTTTGGAAGGCACATTAATTTTTTACTCCTAGCTGTATGTGCAAAGAAAGACTGGTGGGTAGTAATTTACTTTCCCTTTATGATACTATTTACTGAATTCCTGTGATAAATTAATGAGGATATCATAAGTGGTATTTTGAATTATTTTCAGTGGCAGATGTACCTAAGGAAGATTTAATAAGCAGACTGCCTGAAGCACTAGAATTTATTAAGAGCGCTATTGCCTTACAAAAAAATATTTTAGTTCATTGGTAATTAAAAATAATTATTTGCTTATTGATATGCTTGCTGTGTACAATTGAGCTAGGTGCTTGGCATTTATAATATTAATTTCCAAACTTAATATTATTTTTTAGTTATTTTGGCGTATCTCGATCAGCAGCAGTTGTTATAGCATATATGATGGAGAAACATGGTATGAATTATGAAGACACCCTCGCTCTAGTAAAACAGAAACGTCGCTTTGTCTGTCCTAATGCTGGGTTCGTGGCTCAGTTGAAACTGTTTGCACAGATGGGTTACAAGATAGATAAAGATGATCCACGGTATAAGCAGTTTAGGCTTAAAATGGCAGGCCAGAAACTAAAACAAGGTTAGTTATCACATGGATAAAAGATAGTTACTTGTAATGTGAATTTTAATAATAATTTTTACTATAATCCTATATCTAGAATCTGTCTTTTCAGAGATAGCTTGTTTATGTATTGGTGCAATTTTTTTTAATAAAAATCTTCATATATAGATAATGTTATTGAGTTTTATAAGTATATATTATTATTATCAAAGACAGGCAGACAGTTGCAACAACTGATGTGGCCTGTATCCCGATATCTTTTTTGCGTGATATTTCATTCTTCCTGTTGCATGAATTTGTCAAATCTATTTTTAAATTGGTTTGTAGTCTGTGCTGAAACTACATCTGTCGGTAATCTGTTCCAAGCTTCTACCACTCTGTTACTAAAAAAGTGCTTATGTGGATTTATAGACGACGCCCTCTTTGTCAACTTTAGATGATGTCCTCTCAAGTGAGTGTTATGGGAATATTGAAATAACTGCTTGTCGAAATTTTTGATGTCGTAATGTCCATGCAGTATTTTATATACCTCTATCAAGTCTCCACGTTCTCTCCGTTCCTTTAATGTGGTGAGTTTTAGAGCTTTCAACCTTTCCTCATAAGTTTTATTCTTAAGTGTTTTAGGGAGTTTGGTAAACCTGCGTTGAATTTTTTCCAACATTTCTATATCTTTTTTGAAATAAGGACTCCAGATTTGAAAGGCATACTCCAAAATAGGCCTAACATAAGTTTTATGAATCTTAATTACCATCTCTGGTGTCAAATGACCAAACGCTTTCCTAATAAGGTATATGAAACTACTGGCCTTTTTTGTGATAGCAGAGATATGATGTTCCCATTTAAGATTTTCAGCAATATGTACACCCAAATCAATTTGTACTTTGGCTTCTTTCAGTGTTATGCCCTCAACATCATAAGTGTAATGAGGATTTTGACTACCAATGTGTAGAACAGTGCATTTATCTATGTTAAGTTTGACAAGCCACTCCCTTGACCATTTTACTATACGAGTTACGTCCGCTTGGAGGAGATCATAGTCGATGAGTGGATTTGCAAAAATCTTAGTATCGTCTGCAAACATGCTAACACAGCAGTTCAGAGATTTAGGTAGGTCAAATGTGTAGAGAATGTACAAAATCGGCCCAAGTACGGACCCCTGGGGTACTCCACTCCGTATTTCTTTCTCATTCGAAAAGACATCGCCAATCTTTACCCGAAATGTACGCTGTCTCAAGAATCCCTCTATCCAGTTTAATAGTTTTCCTCGAATGCCAATGAACTCGAGTTTTTGCAAAAGTCTACCGAAAGGAACTTTATCAAATGCCTTTTCATAATCAAGATATAAAATGTCGACAGGCTCCTGAACGTTCTGACTATTAACCCACGACGATAAGGATGATAGTAGGTTTGACACCGTCGATCTATGCGGACAGAAACCATGTTGTTGATCGCTAATTACTTTTTGTTTACCAAGAAATTTTCTAATCTGTTTAACTATTATTTTTTCCATGACTTTGCATATGACACTAGTCAAACTGATTGGTCTATAGTTTGAGGGTTCTAATTTGCTTCCTTTTTTAAACACTGGGATCACTGTTGCAGTTTTCCATAACTCTGGCAGTACCCCAGTATCATATGAGGTCTGCATTATAAGCGCTAAAGCCTCCGATAGATCACAGTTTCTCAGAACAGACACTGGTATTTCGTCAGGTCCAGCAGAAGCATCTGTTTTCATGTCCTTTATAGCAGCTTGAACTTTGACATTTGTGAAAACGATTTCGTCTACCGATTCTTCGACTCGGAGACACTGATCCATAGTCGGGAGTATATCAGGCTCAGTTTCAAAAACACTAGAAAACTGATCTGCAAAAATCTCAGAAATCTCCTTCGGATGGGTTACAATCTGGCCTAGCCAGCCGCGCAGTGTATCCGGTATACCAACTTTTGACGTTGTTTGTTGCCTAATATAAGCATAGAATTTCTTGCCTCCACCTTCTAACAATTTTTTTTCATACATAGCTCTTGATTTACGACTTACATTTGTAAGTTTATTTGTGATCTTTCTATATTCTCGATACACGTCACTTGTCCCGGTCAAGGTATATCTCCTCCATGCAATCTTCTTTTGGTGCATCATATCCAATAATTCCTTCTTAACCCAGGGTTTGTTTAGGTTTGTTTTAGTTATCATATTAACTTGGGGCACGTGATTATGTATGGCTCTCATTAATATGTTCTGCATATTTTCAAATTGCTTTTTTGGACAATCAGTGTTCTGTACAGGTTGCAAAAGGGTAGTATTTATCTCGTCACATATTTTTTCGTAATCTGCTTTATTATAATTTCTCCAGAGTTTTTGTTGCTTAATATTAGGTTTCTGTATCTGTAGCTGAACCCTGGAAATCAGACATAAATGATCACTTTTACCAATAGCCGCTTCATAATCTATAGCAGCCACGAGACACTCATCATTTGTAAGTATTAAGTCAAGGAAAGAGGGTTGGTTTCCATCTCGAAATCTAGGGCTTATCCACCAATTGGTACATATTGCTTTCCCTATACCATTCCAGAAAACTCAACTCCTTCGGCAGCAGATATCCACAGTCTTGGAGTGGCCACTTGACTCCAGCAAAATTAAAGTCACCCATAATCAGCACGGTGCCATTTTCAGAGGCCAGCCTTTAGTCCCAAAGAAAAGTGCTGTCCTGTTCCAGTGTGGTTTCATGACCACGATATAAGCCACATATCAATATTCTGTGTGTCTGTACGTCAACGTCCACCCATACACATTCCGTATTTGGATACTTGGTATTGAAACGACTATTTTTACTTGCAGTTATGTAAGGAGCCTGGTTAGAAATATATATAGCGACACCACCACTTCTTCTATCGATGCGGTCGTTTCTGTATATGTCATATCCGGGTATTTTAATTAATGAATTTGATATACTTAGCTTAAGCCACGTTTCTGTGAGTATAATGATAGCTGGTTTGTGCAAATTTACTCTTGCAAAGAGCAGGTCCAGTTTTGATATAATTGATTGTATATTGGTGTATAGTATTTTTATTTCGACAAGTAACGTTTTTATTTTTATATTAACGCGCAAGCACGGGCCATTGAGAACTACTTTTTTGGATCCCTGTGACTAACTATTTTAGGCTGACCCTGAACATACTTAATAGTCAGATCCGTCTCGCCACTATTTTTACGTTTTTCCAGCTCGTCGCGAAGATATTTTAGATATTCACGTTGCATTGCGGTTTGGTCAGGTTTGATAGATGAAGGTTTAGCCAGTTTAGTTTTATTACGTAGCACCTCTATTGCTTCCCCTTTATTTTTCATGATCACCTTTACCGGACGAGGCGAAGTTCCAATGCGAGAGTTTGGAGCGCTTAGTCGAAATACCTTGATGTTATCACAATTCACTTTTTTACTCAATCCAAAAATTATCTTTTTACACTCCTCTTTATCATGCTCTTGCCTTTGGGGCGGCAGATATTTCATGGATTGCTGATTCAGTAGTCAACATATTTTGGCGCATGCGTAAGTTCTGCACTTCTTTATCAAGTTGTTCCAGTCTTTTCATAATGCTTGGTAGTTGCAGCATAGTTGTCCTACAGTCGCCACACAAATAGGTCACAATACGCACAACTGTTTTCAATTCAAAGACTCTCACTTCTGTAGGAGACAAAACCATGACAATCACCACATATCAACCTTTTGCAGGAGTCATATTTACAGATGTTTTCTTATCATTGGGTTGTTTATCACACTTTGAACAGTTTATATTTTTTTCGGACTCATTTTCCAACTCTTCAATAATTTACCAAAACTATGCAAAACGTCTCGCTATGGCAACTCCACTGCTTATGCTCAACCCGTTGACAACTTGAAAAAACAATTCAATGAGGGTAGTTGTGAACATTCGTGATTTCCATGGAATGAATTTGCAATTTTTTTACGTTTTATCTTTCTTCCTTTTCGTAGATAACATTTATACTAAGAATTTGTGACTTGTAAAACACCTTCTTCACGAAAACACACCACGAAACACCTTTATTCAAGATTATACTGAAAAATTTTCGAGACCACCAGTGCACACACAGATTAATTTATTTAAAATATAGATGCATGTTTTTGTTTACTTTGCCTTTGTAGTATGTACAGGTGAAGGGTCACAACCTTAATAACTGTAACACATACTTTTAATTTGTTTTTTTACTTAGTTGTCACCTGTTTTGTACATCTTAATAAATAAAATAAAATAGCACCATTCAGTCTTTTATAGCGGTCATTGATAAAGTATCGGGCTTCTATTTACTCACGTTTGTATAACATCTTGAATACTACATATTATACAGAAGTAGCTGTTTAATTTATCACAACATGATAATGAGTAATCCGGGGTGTGTTTCCAGTGAAGATCCTGCCGCAATCATTCTCGGACTTGGTGAAGGCGGACCCGGGCGTGGCCCGCGAGCGGCCCGAGCCCAGCGTGTACCGCTGCCGGCGCTGCCGCCGCGTGCTGGCCACGCAGCACAACCTCATACCGCACGTGCCCAAGCAGGTCACTCAACACGCCTACTAATAGTCTAAGCAGCCCGAGCTTGGCCAAAATTTAAATCTTTTCCTCTTCAATTATATTAGTATCGAAAATACGTGCTGTGGTCTTCTAAAATAATAGAATTTCCACAAATATGTAATGCTGCTACTTTTTAACTGTTTATATTAATATTCCACATACACATTATATTAGATTGTATAAGACGGGTATTGATGCGATCGATTTTGATTGTTAGGTTTTTTATCTACCTATATTTGCCGACGTTTCGACCAGGTTTATATTGGTAAACTTTCTTCTGCAATTTATATAAAAATATTTTTGTGATCGTTGAAATTTTGGTGTTGATTTATGTCGGCTCTTATGGGGTTTTTTTAAATAAGTATGGATGTTTACGTTACTTCTTAGATTTCAGACAAAAAGCACATATTCTCTCTTATCTTAATCCAATAGAAACCATTAAATGTAACAGGTGAAAGTCCAATGGGCTAAGAAGGGCATGCGTCCACCTCACAATCTGCTGTCTCAAGACGGGGAAGGACTGATAGAGCGGTTGCGGACCCTCGCCTGCCAGATACTGGACAAGCAAGACACTGCCGGCTCCAGCTCTGATCAAACTCCTCAACATGGAGTAAATCACCAAGATGCCGAGGATTGGACTGAACAGGTCAGCCTAACTTGTCTATTTGATTAACTTAATGTTGTCTATGTAATTACTTTAACGTTAATTTTTTCAATTATGAACATTCATTATAGCATATATAGTGCAACTGCCCCAACATCACATAAATTGTTTAAATGCCCAAACTAAGTAGGTAATCAGTGTGTGTAAGATGGAAATGTGTATCAACAATGGTACCACAATGTATAGAGTATAGAGTCTAGTGCCTACAGTGGAGACAATATACATAGAAAACTTTGATCAGTAAAACCAGCCACTCAAAAATAGACAAAAATGGACATCGTACCCCTATCACTCTGGTGAAATGGTATGGATGGCAATGATGTTTTATAATTTTTCTTGTACTCTAAACATTTGCTAAACTTAATGTATATGATAGAAATCTCCATATTACCTTTCAATCGAGCTATCTAGAGCTCCAGGTCACATACATTCAGTGATATAATACATATCTTCGTAATTGCTATGACAATTAAGACAGGCGCGGAAGAGGCATCTCTTAACTTCACAGAACATAGAGAGAGATTAGAAGTATAATGATATTAATTTAGTATGGGAACCGAGTGTCGCCTCTCCGCACACAAATACAGATTAGATGAAATGATCATTTTGTTCACTACATGAAAAACCGCCACGCGATAGGTTCGCGATAACATAAATCAAATCCCAAAAAGATCCTAAGCTAAGAAATCACACGATTAAAAACAAACTCTAATTCAACGTGATAATAAATAATTTACTTTAACATGAATGTTGAACTGTCACGTGGCTGTATATGGGGATACCAGAAGGAAAAAAATATTTTAAGATTATGCACATTTAAAAAAATTGGGGTCATCATTTTATGTGCGAACTATTAATATTAGATTTTGCTGTAACCAAGTGAATACTGAAAAATTAAGGCTTTTCCCTACATAATTTATTAAAATATCTTTTAAAAAACGCAGTACAAAAACTAAGAAAACTTAATGATACACTCTATCGTATGTCTGTGGAGTAATATAATTAAGCGAGGGAAAGTGTAAAAAAAAACAAAAATTAAGAAAACAACAGAATTTTTGTATTAATTACATTAAGCCTAATTTGTATTTTTTTCTTACTGGTATCATTCCGATTGTGCATATTAGTGATGTGACATATTAGTTGATAAAATAAGAGCTTTAAATTTTGTCATGAAACAGTTCAATGTAATTCAGTTCGACAATTTTCTACAGTGGTTTGATAGTAATTATTTAAAGCTTTATTCAAATAAAACGAAATACATAAAGTTTGCATTACCTAATGTGAGGCATGTTAATATACTTATAAATGTAAATAGTGAAAAAGTTGAGATGGTGGAATCGACAAAGTTCCTTGGTATTTTGGTATATTGATAATTTGTCAAGTAGACTGAGTTCTGCAGCATTTGCTGTTAAGAAAATTAGACTCTTAACAAATGTTGAAACGGCAAGATTGGTATATTTTAGTTGTTTTCATAGTGTAATGAATGACGTATAATCTATTGTTATGGGGTTCTGCGGCTAGCATTCAAGATATTTTTATTCTACAAAAGAGAGCTGTCCACGCTATATATAATTAACGGTCTAGAGAATCTCTCAGAGAAATATTTAAAGAAATAAATATTTTGACTGTTGCCTCTCAATACATCAATGAAAATATTATGTACGCAAGAAAACATTACGATTCCTTCACAAAAAAAAGTAGAAATAAAAATAAACTTGCCATTCCAAGTGCTTGTAATAGCCTTCTTGAATAAAGATATTTTCATTTCATTTCATAATAACTAATATGATCATTACACTAATAAATTGATCATAGCCATGTTTGTTTTACTTTATTATTCTAAATTTTATATCTGTAATAATAGTAGTAGCTACATTATTAATTGCAACGACTGGACAATAAGGAATTGCTGGTCAAGTATGAGTTTGAAAGCCGTGACAAAAAAAGTTTGAAGATAGACACAAAAGCGATAAGTACGTACAAACGTCAATCTACATATAAAGTCACATCCGTTTGAGACATGCGTCTATAAACTTATGTGCAAATATGGAGCAACAAAAAAACTGATAAAAGCTGTTCTGTGGGCGGTTCTTTAAAGTGGCTTTCTTAACTCGATTTCTATAATAATAGTTTCCGATTATGAATCAGCATAATAAGGTAAATTAAATTGACGCCTAAAAATTAATTTTGTAAATTAAATTCACACCACCAACAATATTACGTTAGTTGAAAACATAATTTTTTGTTTGTATAGATATTATGTTGTTTTGAAATTCATTTGATAGGTTTAGGTCTAAAACAGATAGGGCAAAATTAATTATGTAAACAAGGCAATCCGTTGTAAAGTTATTAGGGAAACTGAAATATAAGTAATGCAAAATAAGTGAAATCCAGTTTCACCAGTTTCTAACAAGACCTATTAGGCCAACTCTTAGCTTTTCACGAAGTTTCGTTTAATTTATGTATTGTTCATAAAACGGTGATATACTTCGTAACTTAGATATTTATAGCACATCAGTAATTTTTAATATTTATCTGCGTGTAAATAATTAACCGAATCTTCGTAAAAAAAGTGCCTGGACAGTTCATTATTTCATTTGTTCAGTATCAGTTCATCTATAATTTTCCCTTGTAAACAGTATTTTTTAGTTTTATATAATTATGGCATATATTTATCGATAACGTTGTTATGAAATGATGAAAGAAAAGCTCTAAATAAATATGTTTTAGTTATCGATTACGATCCATATAATTAACAATACGATTCCGAGCAGCAGCAGCCTATCGGTACATTTCAGACAAATGGAGGCACAGCACTATTTTTTGCAAAAGTGCACAAAATGATTTACATTGCTGTTTAGTAATGGGGTCAGAAACATTGATGTTGGTTTGAGCAATCAATGTATATTTTATTTAACATTGTGTCAAATTATTACGTTTTTTATATTTTAGCACTAAAATTGTACTTACCAGTGAAAGGAAATGTTTGCATTAGTTAGATTGAATACTTTGCTTTGCTTTTTGCAAGTGATAATAGCACAAAACGGCATTTTTTATAGAAAAAATCTGTAAAATCACCACTCGACGATTGACGAACGACTGGCAAACATAAAACCGAGGAAAGGGCGTCATATGAGTAAAAGCGCATATGCCAGCGACGCGTGCCCCGCCCACTTACTACTTCTATTCTCTCTCTATGTTCTGTGCTTAACTTCGTACTGTTTTCTGACATTCTTTTTAACTGCTCTTCCATCATAGTGTCACTACACGGAGTCAGAAACGTCTACTGATTCTGTATAAACTAGCGATTAACACAAATCTGCAAGTATGCGGATCGAAACACAAAGGCTTCTGAATAAGCCCATGGAAAATGCTTAAAAAATTCACAAGCTTATGTGAAAGTCTCTGAAATAAGACTCGAACACACAACTTTTTGCAATCATTGAGCTTTCTAAGTATTTTCACCAAATATATTTATCACTATTGTATGGTGAATGCAAAATAAATCAAGTATATTCATGCCCTATTTTTCTCTTAAGACAGCCAAGAGATGGGTCGCGAAAAGTTTCATTGACCACCAGCCTAAGACATTAACTTTTGTTATAATAGGCGTTAGAGGGGTACACGGAGGACGTGATGGTGGACGAGTGTATACGGGGCGAGGGCGGGGGCGGGGGTGGCGCGGGGGCGGGGGCGGTGTGCCGGCTGATGTGGTTCGTGGAGCCGCTGTCGTGGATGCAGGGCGTGACGTCACAGGCGGGCGGCAAGCTGCTGTGCCCCAAGTGCCGCGCCAAGGTCGGCACATTCAGCTGGGTCATGGGTCAGTACATGGGCCAAAATACTTTTTTATGCCTAAAAACCTGTCCCTTTGAACTAACGTTGAATTTTACGGTAAAACACTACAAAAGTGTAAAATAAGTATGCTAATTTTAAAATATTACATTATTGTTTAATACAGAACACAAGATTTGACCAGTAAAAATACATCATAATAACAAAAAATATAGTAACAATGTTGTCATTCTTAGTAACGCATTTGTTCTTCATACAAAATACAGTTGTCCTTGAGCACATGTCTCAAGCTTCTATGGATTTTTTTCCACAATATTTCCTAGGTGGCGATTCATAATGAATTCCGCTTTAAAAATTTAAACCCTAAACCTTATTTATAATGCCAATAAATATTTTTTAAACAAATAATTATTGGAGTAAAAAATTATTTTGACTGTGTCTCTAACAAATACTAAAATCGTAACTACCTTGCGTTACTATATGAAAATAAACCTTTAAGTGAGTGTATTACCCTTTTTTGCACTTTATTCGGCTTTACATATTGTAACTCGTATAACGAACGATGGCAACCGCGGGGGAAGAGGACGCTCGTCAGATCAGTCGCGTCGGAGTCGTCGGGAGAGGTGCGTGTATTTATTGCGTGACCGCTGAGTTACCACTGTCGAAAGGTACGTATTGACAATATTTACATAATATTTGTTTTATATGTAGTTTGTCATGTATTGGATCTGTCAGTGTTAGAATATTTGCACTTTGTTATTTCATTTAGTGATTATATACAACTTAGTCAAATATTTACAACTGCGTTACTGCTACACTGCGTTACTTGAAAGTGTAACGCAGTTGTTGCATTGGTAACGCAGTTGTGAATATTTGACTATGTTGTAAATAATCACTAAATGAAATACCAAAGTGCAGATATTCTAACACTGACAGTACAAAGACATGACTAACTACATATAAAAATAAATAATATATTTGTCAATGTTGGTGATACGTTATTTAAGCCTTAATTTTCATATATTGTTTCTTTTTTTATCTTAGAGAAAAGATTCTGCGCTAAATGGCGTTAACAAATGCAGAAAAACAACGTCGCTATAGGCTTAAATTAAAACTAGACCCGGTGAGAAATGCTGAAGCTATGAAAAAACACCAAGAAAGGTACCATGCAATTAAAAAACTTGTCAAAGATATGACAGAGCGAGAACATAGGAGTGCTAAGCGTAAATGGAAAACTGCAAATAAGAAACGTCGAGAACGACAAAAAACTGCTCAACAAATTATGGACAATACACCGACGTCGAGCCCGCGGTCAGGAACTCCAGTTTTCCGAGGTCTAGAGGCCGAAAATAAATACGAAGAGATAGATATGTAGTGTACAGAAATAATTTGAAATTGCAGGAAGAAATAGAAAAGTTGAAAAGAATGTGTAGTAAATATAAAAAGAGATACCAAAGAGCTAAAACTTCAATCATACACACGGAACAAGTAAATAAGCTCAACCAAAATAAGTATTCAACATTATCCAATGCCATCAAAGACCATTACAGAAGTTTGAAGTCAATCAAAGAGAAACAATCATTAAAACAAATTTTCAAGGAGAAGGCTTATCTAGCTCTAAAATAAAAATTGCTATTGTACGCGAGACGTTGGGAATTGATCTGATGAAAGTGATGAAACGACAGCAGAATACCTCAAAGAAAAATCTGGTTAACAGCATTAAAAGCTTTTTTGTTCGTGACGATGTTTCTAGAGCTACGGCTGGAAAACGGGAAACTGTCACTTGTAATAAAATTAAAATACAGAAGCGATATTTACTAGACACAATGAAAAACCTATTTCATTCTTTTAAAAAAGAAAATCCAGAATTGAGATGTTCTTATTCGTATTTCATTAAAAACAGGCCATTTTATATAAAGCCACCTTCAGTTTCTGGAAGAGAGATTTGCCTATGCAAGATACATACTAATGCGCAGTATATTTTAGATGCTCTCTACAAAACCAGGGTTATCGCTCACCAAAACACTGAAGGAGTTAAGCAAGGTCCGTTTGTACTTAGTGACGTACAGTGACATACAAAACATTGAAAAAGCTCTACCTAAAAACCTTGTACCACTTCAAGGTACGATGCTAGTACATCAAGTTTTTACTGACACTCCCGGTGAACTTCAATATAGATATCTCAGTTGCTTTTGCCAAAGAGGTTTTTGCTCATGCATGAGCCCAAAAACTTATCACCCTGTTCCTGCTCCCGTTATTGACACACTTACAAAACGTATTCTCTTGGATGGATTGGATGAGGAAGTAGTTCTCGATGATATTTTATATATAATTACCGTACCTAGAAGAACATTTTACAATACGGTTTATTCCACACCTTCCAGCTCTGATGACGAGTTCTTAGCCAGCTATAGCCAACCATCAGTTTCTAATATAAAAGAAAGGCAATTAATTGAAAAGGAAAATATTCATCCTACAAAGATATCAGACGGTGTCCATGTCTTAGTAAAAGTGTCTTCTGTTAAAGACAGACATTACACTTATCTAGGTGTTGCTAAAAGTGAAGTTGATGAAGAAGGAGACGTCAAAATTATGTTTTACAAGACAGTAGATAAAACTGGTAAAAGGTTCAAAGCAGTAGATACTGATATTTCTTATGAACCTTACGATAACATCTTAGAAATTGTTCCTAATCCTAAAATTGTCGTAAAAGGTAAAAGGATATACTTTGATTATGATAAGCCATTAAACGTCTTTGAAAAGTAGGACTGATTTGAAAGTGTTCCATTAGTTATTAAGGTTGATTTTGTGATATTTAATTTTTTGAGTTTTTAAATTTATTTCATTGAAGATACTTTATTTTATATCGAGTCATAGGAAGTTATATTTTGTTATGTTTTTATCGTTATACTAGATCTCTATAGAAAGTACAAATATTGTATGTACAAGAATTGTATGTAAGAAAATACTACCATGTTACTGGGCTTACTACTGCGTTACTTTTGTGTCCCTCCGATTTTTTATAGTATTTTCAATATATCTATGATTCTTATTATTTAACGTGCTTTAATTTCATACGTACGTATTACTCATCAAAATTGAAAGATTATGTTGTAAGTTGGTATTAATTTTAAGTTTTTATTTGTGATAAATAGAAAAGTTTATGTTATAAAATTAAATTTTGGTAACGCAGCAATCCAAAGTAATAAGGATACTCTATGAAACTGATAACTTCTGTGATTTAATTTTATAAGAAGTTAATTATAAGCGTTACAGTTTAAAACTGACACGTTGTGATTCTCTTTGTACAAGATTAATAAAAATGAAAAATAAATTAAAAATGTAACGCAGTTGTTTCATTTTCCGACACCTTCATATATTGTTGACCATAACTATAATTAACTCATTTAAACTAACGCTGCAGAGGTAGGTACATTATAAACCGAACTATAACGTATCTATATCTGCATATAAAAATAAGAATATTAATATTTTTATAAAAAAAAGAAATTTAAAATCGTATGTTTAGATTAGGCATTAAAAAGTATTTTAGCCCACATGAACATTACACACCAACTGTCGTCTTTGGGCAAACAAGTAACGTTCGAACGAGCTGAAATTAGAATTACAATTCTTTACCATATAACTAATGGTTTTGTCACGGCCAAAATTTATATACTTGAAAGTGGTAATCACAAAGTTACCCCTAAAATTTCACCATTTCTTTCTATATCTTAAGGAAAAATTATTAACTTAATCACCGTTTACACTTTAACTTGATACTTACGTTACTTTAATGACCTCAAAGTTATCAACGAAAGTTCTGTAGAAAGTAAATGAATCTATTAAAAATTATAATAAAATATTCTAAATACAATCGGAATTATTTTTATTGTAATATATTTCTTTAATGAACATGTCTGCGTTTAGGTTGCAAATGTCCGTGCGGACAGAAAGTGGCGCCGGCGTTCTATCTGGTTCCGTCGAAAGTGGAGTGGTCCAACATTGTACAGAATGTGCAACTCACGCTCTAACCGATAAATGGCCCTGGAAATAGCTGTGGAGCTGTTTTTAGCGAAGATCACACACCGTGGTAACATGCCATAATAAAAGTAACTCACTGTGACAAAAGGCAATAACGAAAGTAACTCATTGTGACAAAAGCTCATAATGAAAGTCACTCACTGTATAAACAGGCCAGAATGAAAGTCGCTGTGACAACAAACCATAATGAAAGTCACTCACTAGAAGCAACTCATTTTATTTATCTATTTATTTTCGAAACTTATAATCAGTGGTCGGAATTAGGTAGAGTTATTCATGTACTTACACTGATTTCATACAGCGAAAGAATAAAGTGGATATGCATCAAATCCCGAGATTAATTTTAAAGAGCAGAAAAAAACCCGTGATTGGTTAAATAAAAAGTTATTTACTTTTACACAATTTAAACTACTGCACGCACGATATTGCCAAACTTACATCAATGAAAGAAAGAAATAAAGAAAGAAGAAATAAAGAAATTTCGGGAAGGTCCACATTAATATCAACATTTCGATGCAAGTACATAAATAACTCTACCTAATTCCGACCTCTGCTTATAATTTATAATAATCATTACAGGCGTATCACAACAGGCCAGAAAGGAAATCACTCAGTGTGACAACAGGCCATAATGAAAGTTACTCCCTGTGATAACGGGCCATAATGAAGTTACTCACTGTGCAAACCATTATACACGGCATACACAGCGGATACGTCTATTCTAGAAAGAGCTTCCTATAAATACAGGACTGAGGAAGTAATTCGGTGCTCGCATTGCACTGTGGATCAGTTCATACTGTTAATTGTATGCCTTCCCCTACATTAGATGTTATACATACATAGATAAAATATAAATGTTGAAGTTTAAAATAGAAATAATGTTGTATGTATTAAAGAAATAAATGTATATTTTAGCATAGATGAAATCAGTTGTACAATAAAAAACGATATTAAAAACTCATACAGCCTTCTTTTATTATTTTCCATAGATAATGCATTCAGAACAGCCGCAGAGCAACGAGCGTTTGTTAATTAAAAAACGAATTTCCGATTTACATTTACAAGTTAATGTTTTCAAATCATCAAAAGTATGTACTCATACAAAGACTAATGGTATCACCGTTGGTGAGAATTAATTCTAAACCTCATTGTGACCGTGAAGAGTGATCGAGGCTTTACCGATGAAAACTATCACTTCCTAGGATCCAATTTTTGTTATGTACTTTATACGATAGTGGACGATGAATAGTTCACTGTATGATCTGTCCGTCCCTGCGCATGCGCGGCACGTCGTGCAGCGCCAGCGAGTGCGCGCGCATGAGGTGCAACTTGCGCTTCCAGCTGTCCGCGAACGAGCGCGGGCACCACGCGCACATGTACGGCCGCTCGCCCGTGTGCGTGCGCGAGTGACGGCACTGCACAAAATAACACCTAGCTAGATGGCGACTCTAGCAAAAGTTGATTTTTGCAGGAAACGAACGGTTACCAAAGATAGATAGGTAGTCATTCGAAACTTAGATATCCAATACAAATACGAAAAAGTACAAATGGAATATGAGTTGTTTATTGAGTTTTGAAAACTAATTTACTTTGTTACATGAAAGAAAACCGGAAGAGTTGTCATGGAGAAATCAAGAAAGTACTGTAGCGACATTTAGATTGATTTTGGAACCTAATTTTATTTTATTTGAAGAGTAATATCGATAGCAAAAGACTAATATGTTCAGATGTTTTCGCTTCAGTTTACACCTTCAGTTTAAAGACCTTGTGCTGAGCCGAACGGGCAAATAATAGATTATTTAGTATGTATTTAGTGGCCTTCTGGTCGGTTTTTGAATTGAGAAAGTACAAAATCTCAACTGTTTATATTCTGAATAACTTAAGTTTTTTACTTTTTACAAGGCAAAAATTCCAGTTTTTATTTTACATGAAAAATCAAAAAGCGAAATCGTATTTAAGTGAAGTTTAAGTACTGTTTGATATGTACTTAACTTAAAATACTTAAATATTCTTAATGAAAAATACTTAAAAAATCCACTTTGTCCCTGGTACTCTGAGATGAGATGGGATGGGATTGTGAAAAGTAAAAAACTTAAGTCATTAAGAATATTTTCCAGTACAGCATTGTGGATGAAATATTAATGAAATATAATAATTTAAACACTCAAAACGTTATCAGCAGTTTAGCTAGTCTAGTTAAGTGATTGCAATATTTTGATAATTTTTATACCAGTATGCCAGTAATATCTTACCAGTGAACTAGCATCGCAGAACCCCTTCCCGCAAGTGTGACAAATGTGATGAGTCGCGCGCGTGTGAGCACGCTGGTGGCGCCGCAAGTTGGACGCGGCGGCGGCGCGAAACCCACACTCCCCACAAAAATAAGGCTTCTCACCCGTGTGTCGACGGATATGCACTTCTAGGTTACCAGCTGGTGAACAAACAGCAACTGTTAAACAAATCTGTGCTCCGTGGAGGCCTACTACTGTTTTAACAGAATAGCACTGCAAGTAAATTTTTCGTTCACATGTTAAGTGATCGTCAGATTGCAGTAGTTAAATTCTGCATAATAATTTATCTCATAAGAGTGCCACACCTGCTGCTTAGGTGTATTATAAAATATTTAAAGGAGCTGAGCTCCTTGAGAGTCTTGTAAAGGGGAGATTCAGCATCATTCATAAGGGCAGTAATAGGATGGGTGATCAAAATTTATCGAGTATCTTTGTGCTACAGAGAGCAAGTTAAGCAATTTCCTGGCTACATCAGCAGTCATTAATGCCCACAAATCCATTCTGGGTCTGTTTGGTGTATTATGGCTCTCTGTCTACTTGATTCTATCCATGGAAAAGACTGATGTTGGTATTAATTCATGATTTTTCAAAATAATATTAGGAAGAAGATAATGACAGGTCACCTTGAGCAAAACTCCATCCACAAAAGGAACACAGGAATGGTTTGTGATTCTCATGAACTTTCATATGGCACTTTAATATATTGCATTTTTTAAACCTGAAAATAAAAAAAATGTAAAAATCCTTTATTTATATTATTTAGTAGTAGGTTTTTTAAAAAGATTTCTTAATCCACATTTTATAAAAAAAAAATAACTTTGCTATGATATGCTATGTAAATTTCCGTTACCTCATATTGCACTTGTCACAAGCATATGGCCTAGCATCATTGTGTGACCGCATATGTACAGACAACTGCTTATTGCACTTGAAACGTTTCCCACAAGTGCCACAAGCGAATTTGCGTTCATCCGAGTGCGATATTAAGTGACACTTTAGCTGAGATGGTTTGGCAAATGCTGTATGTAAATATATACTTTTTAATTTAATTATGTACTTAGGTGCTATATTTGAGCCTAAAATATGAGTTGATAAAATAATGATAGTATAATGGATTTTCTTGAATGTTCTTTTCAATATTATTTAGAGAAGCTAGATGTTATTCACCAAACATATCTAACTGTCCTATCAGCTAGTTTCACAAATATCTGTTAAAATTGTTATCAGTTTTAAAGCAACAATACTTATTATAGTAGTAATACCCATTAAAAAGATACAAATTTGACATTAATTAGAGCTTAAGACTTCATTAAATCCTTAATGGACATTTGTGCAATCGACCGTTTAAGTACTTCAAAAGGCATGTTAAAAATAGTCTGTGTATTTGCCATGGTTACTGTAAATATAGCATGCATTAATCTGTACTGAGCCTCAGGTTTTATGAGACTTAAGGAGAAAAGCCAGATTGATGGAATATTTTAAATATAGCAACTACTTATACCAAACACTTCTACATATACTACTAGAAAAGATGTTTGGCACTGAAAATTTATATGCTAATGCTTCAGTAATTTCTGAAACAATTCATATTGCTCTCCACTCTCCAAGAATTACTCTACAGCACTACAAATTTCTGTCAATGTGCAATCATACTTGGTCTCAATTTTAATTCTGAAGGGTTCATCTTGTAGTAATACCCATTAAAAAGTTGTTAATGTATGCAAATATCAGAGAGTATTTCTTATACTTACTTTTCTCACAGTAATTGCATGTGTATTTTTGGCCTGTATGCTCCTTTTCCATGTGCTTTGAGAACCATGTTTTGGAAGTAAAAGTCTTTCTACATACAGGGCAAATATTCTTTTTAGTTCCTTCTGTATTGTTTATATCATTAACAGTCCTATTTGACTTTTTTAATGTATCATCACATTCAGTATTTGTAATGTTTGCTTCTTCAAATGTTTTTGGAAATTCTGATGTATCTATATGTCTGTCCATTTCACTTGTTACATTATCAAGGGTTTGTTCATTGAAGTTTGCATCAGAACTAGGTGTTATATTTATATTATCTGCATAATTTTTATCTGCTAAGATTCTGTTGTTATAGTTTTCTGGTTCTACTATGACACTATTTTCAGTTCTTGATATTATGTTTCTGAGAGTAACATTTGCTTTTTGAGCTTCGGTAATGTATGCAAAAGATGATTCTAACCTAATGATACAATCATTACAAAATTGCTTTGGCAGTTTTTCATCATCCAAAATCTAAAACAAATCAAAAATTTAATATAAAACAGAGTTTAGTTGTTTAATCTCATTCAGAATTACATAATGTTGAAAGTAATTGTATATTCACTTTGGTAATAATATTATAATGTGATATTTACCTTAATATTGGTACAATAATAAAACATTTCTAGAATTCTGTAATCTATATTATCGTTTTCCCACATCAATAACTCTTTCATGCAACTTCGACATAATTGTGATATTTCCATTTTATAGTGTCTGAAACTTAAACATATGTTTAAACGGGTTGGGATTTATCAATACTCAAACGGAAGAACAAATTAGGAGATGATAATAATTGAAAAAAGTAATATTTGTGTAGATATATACGTCGTTTACCTACCAAATTAAAGTTTAAAGAATGGACGAATTCAGACACGATTTCTGATTCTTTGCTTCAAAAGAAGAATGTAAAACGCGTAGTTTTGAACAGGGTTTTCAAGAAATACGTAATAGAAATACTTATTATATTCACAATGTTTACATTCAATTAGTTTGACTTTTATTTATTTCCATTATAATTATAAAATATTCTTGATAGACACCCGCAAAATCAAAACAACTCGTTTTATTTTTACTAGGTAAGGATGTACAACTCGATTTGTTATGGTATCTTTAAACTTCAAAAAATCGACTTCACTAATGTCAATATATCGAACCTAAATATCAAAAGGGCTGCTCAAAATGGAGTAAAATTATGTTATTTACAACGACGAGAGTTAATGCTCTAAGTTCTATCAATTCTGTTTCTACATTATCTGAAAAATAAAACTTATTTGTAGTGGAGATATTAAAGAATTAAATTATTATTGGTATTTAAAACATCTAAAACAAATACATTATTTACTTCTTTTTATATAGTGTTATTTAAACGGCAATAATGTTTAATTAAGATATGAAATCAAAATCGTACTTTGATATTTTCATCTAAATCAAGATAAATCGATATTTTTTAAACTGTGTATCTCGATTGTCCAACTCGATTGTTTTGACATTTATTTGTTTAAAATTAAAGTAACAAAGGAATCTAGCCCACACTACCTAGTAAGTTTATATGTTACCAAGTAAATAAATAAAATTTGTTATTTCTAAAACTGGTACAAGACGTTTGTTCTTCTTTAATTTTTTAGCCCGTTCTGATAAAACCTTATCTCTATATAATAAAATTACACCCTCAAAACACTTTTTATGATTAAGATTCACCACACCAGACGATCTAGCTAGATTGCACAGTGGTTAAAAAAAACAGGTAAATAATTGTACGTAATAGTTTAATCGTTGACGTAAAATTGTTTTGCTATTACTGTTAAATATAATAAAACTGTAGGAGTGCCGTAAATTATGTAATTTTTGAAATCGGGGCCTGTTTACTATCAGCCAATAATGCTCTCAGTTCTTCAATTCCCTCGGAGGTAAGTGGCGAGGCCTCCAGTAATGTGAGAGATGTGTTAAGTTCAGTGCGTAACCGAGCAAATTGCAGCATCAAGAGAGCTTCATTACGCATTTGTCTATAAGCTGCGTCCATTTTGCTAAGAACTAGGATAAACTGGAAAAAAGAAAAGACAATTAGATAATATCTATTGATACGATAGATGAGTAACTGCCTTGCAGAAATCGCTAGCAAGTGATAAGGCTTAAGATTTTTCCAATATTCGTATGACGTTTGTATATTTTCTATTTTCTATTGTGTAATAAATAGTATTTATTATTATATCATAGTTGGAAATACCTTAGATTTGTATAGTCTTGGTTCAGCGAGTAATGTATAAAACAAAACTGCCGCAGCCGAAATCTGGCATAAATTGGACGTGTCCACCACGAAAACTACCTGAAAGTGTTATTGTTAGTTAATTCAAATTTAATGAAAAATGTTTGATCCAACAAAAATGTTTTTTGCAAATTAAAAAAAATAAAAATCCGATTGTCGTAACTGACATTAAAGAAATCATTCGTATTGCTATTATGACTTTAACTAGTTAGTTAAAAAGCTTTGTAGGTATTAAAAAATATAATTAAGATAAAACAAAAAACCTGCCTGCGTCGAAAACAACTAACAAGATAAAAAAAAACTTTATCATTGTATTATTATTACGTTAATGATAATCATTATATACCTTTACAAACCCTCGTATTAAACCCTTTAATTTGATACCCATGTTGTAGTGTTTGAAACAAATCATTTTGTCATCATTAAATATAATGGCCTAAGAACACTTGAGCTACTAAGACAATTCTATCCGTTCAGTGGTTCTGGAGATATGCGGTATTAAAGAATATTAAATACTAGCTTTCCACCAGCGGCTTCGCCCGCATGATCTTTTATTAAACATAAAGACCTTCCTTTTGAATCACCCTATCTATGAAAAAAAAAAACCGTTTAAAAATGTGTTGCGTAGTTTTAAAGATTTAAGCATTTTTATATTTTTATTTTTTTTATTTTTTTTTTATATTTTTATATTTTGGAGGTAGGTATTTTTGTGAGAAAATATGCTAATTTATTCCAAAAAGCTACCAGTTTTAATGAGTATCCATCTAGAGACCCAACCAAATTATTACTACCCAGATGTGTAAGTGACATTTACCACATAAATAGTTCTTTTATGTTAGTAAAAATATATAATAGAATTCCAAGGAACATAAGAGAACTTCCATTTAATTATTTTAAAAGGCAACTTACCGAATGGCTCTGTGATAGATGTTTTTATTCAATTAAGGAATTTATGAATAAATAATAATTAATGTAACTAAACATTAATAATGACTTAGTATTGACAGTAATAATGACTTAATATTGATTCTGCTTGATTATGACATAATTTACAATTGCAAATTTTGACATTATTTGTTGTGTTCGGTAATTGTAGTGACATTGATTAACTTTGACATTTTTATATTTTGCATGCTGAATATTTAGCGAAATATGCTGACCAGTGTACCCTATCCTAACATCTATGTAACCATGTTTCTAGCAAAATAAATTATTATTATTATTATTATAGGGATATAGGGACAGGGAAAGCGACTGTGTTTTATACTATGTAGTGACATACAAGATACGCGCGAAAAACATAACCCGCCCTTTGCAGTCGGGTAAAAATAGAGGGGCTGGTATATATTAATATTATAGAGAGAAATATTTGATTGTTTGTTTGAATCGAATAACTTATGAAACTATTGGACCGAATTTAAATAGACTTTCATCTACGAGAAGCTACATCATGCGCGTTCGCGGGAAAAGAGCTAGTTATGAGTAAGCCAGCGTAATATTAAAAGTTTATTTTGATGTATAAAAAGTATAAAACAAACATGAGATTTAATATTTTACCTTTATCATTGCGTCATAAAGTAGTATCACATTAGACAAAGATCTACATATAACTTTATGACCTGACTAGGAATTTACACACTGATATTATTGCTATTATACTTGTGCAAGGGTGTATACATTGCATATTATACAAGGATTTTGTTTCTTGACTACGGACCCCTTTCACGAGGCTTATCCAAGTTTTCGGTACATGTCTGAGGTTATAGGTATTGTATACTGACCTTTTCAATACCATCCAAATAATTGTTCCAAAGAGGTGCCATTTCTCCACCGACTTCTCTTACAGTCACCGTCTGTTTCTTACCGTGTTTATTTAAATAGTGAATATCGTAAATATTTGTACCGATAGTGGGCACCGGGCTGTATGTATTGTCGATTCCTTCGGCATCCTGCAATTTTTTCAGAAGTGTGGTTTTTCCAGAGCCTTTCGGGCCAAGGCATAGCACGCGAATTTTTTTGTCTGGATCTTCCATTTATTTATTATAATGTAAATTTATTTCGTATTATTATGTTTTATCAATATTTTTGGTTGCCTAAGAGAACAACGCAGCGTTACCATGAAAAGAATTTACATGGATTCAGTGGTACAGCTATTCGCCAATAGATGGCGCTGTACTCTTAAAACAGCTAAGCTCTCAATTAATATTTATGTAGTTATATAATTAAGTTGGAAAATTTGATTAAACAGGCGATTGATATATTTTATCCTGTAATTTTTTTCTTCGGGGATTATAATTAAAAAGTGTACATAGACGATGTCGCTGGCAGACGCTAATAAGATCATAAATTGTCATTACGTTAAGGCTCACTTTAATCGGGATAATCTTCGCAATTGTAAAGAATGAGAGTTACGCTTGTTATTCCGTCTTGACGATTAGAGTAGGCGGGATAAGTCGTCGTTTCGTGCAAATAAATTATTCATTAATGAGTTAAATATCTTTGTAGAGTCATTCTCAAGAATTTAGTTCTGTTACACAAACCAAAAGGCTGTGATGATGAATATGTAACAGGTGTTTGGGGAACCAATTGATTTATTTGTTTTTTATCACCTCAATTTACTTGAATTTTTGTCTCGAATACTAAATAACTACTTACCTAAATCGTTATTCAATACATAATTCCAATTTACATAATATCAAGTTAGTTTTAATTAAATCTAATGTAGTAAATAAAATAGGCTTCCAGTCTGCGGCCGTGTACCGTGGTACACACGACGGCACGTCACACAGTTGATTTTAGGCTCTACGATCATTGCAATAAAGTTTAAAATCAAACAGAGTAATTTGACCTAATGTGCTGCTGTACAACACAAAATACTCAAGAAATATAAAGCATCTCGAATTATAACTTACGTTTGAGACTAATCACAATCATTTGTACTGTTCTATGACTTGTTATCCCCAAGCCGACATAAAAATTAATGCTGCTTTTATTTTAAGGAAAATAATAGCGACAACATTTCTTTAAGATTTACTTCAAATATGTAATCTTCTCAATAAACTGTTTTATTTTATCCATATTTTGAAAATGCTTAAAGATAACTATTCCGCCATCTTTTGATTTGGATCGATTTTTTTCCGTTTTTCGGATCATGGGCCGATATTAGTTTAATGAACTAAGCATGCTCTTCTTAATATGCCACTCCTATCGGATATTGAATAGTTTCATGGCTATTTATTTCAGTCATGAGCTACTGTGTCTAACATAGTATATGTGTATCTGTGGTCCAACGGATCCAATTTCTTAGGGGTTTAAACTGGTAAAGTTGCCTTTCAACAGTGCGTTTTTCCTTCATGTTCTTTTGAATTATAAGTAGAGCTTTCTGACTTTACCTTTCTTTTACCGTTATGTTGGTCAGTCTGTGATGCAACTTCCAGTTTGTTAAGTGCATTCCCTTTGAGGGTCCTGTATTCGACCCCATACAACAGTACTATGAAAATGAAATATCGGACTGTAAATAATCCAAGACTTAGATTTTTGTTACATACGAATTTGATCATTCTCTATTATCATTTAGTTATAAAATCACTGAAACGGGTATTCAGCCATAGTTATCATTAAAATATAAAATAATTAAACTGTGTTCTGTACACGTAACAATATTTTTTTGTGCTGAGTTATGGTTATTTAAATTAAGAATTACATATTTAACCTATCTTTTATTGTGAAAATTTTCTGAAAAACAGGTATTCTTTTAAGATACGTACATGAAACTGTAGGTCTGTTTGTACATACCTATTCTTATTATAATATTTTTATCTTGAAAGACCGTTTGTTTATATACATAAATAAATAAAATTCTGTAAAATGTTCTATGCATCTCTGTGCAGATTCTGATATCTAAGTGACATATATCTTCATAGATCTAAAAGCCCATATACTTAATCTTGGTGACTCTTTAGAAATTACCATGTAAGTATCTACTTAGTTTGCACTAGGTTTATATTAATGCCCAATGTTGTTAATGACAGTATTAATAATCTCCAACTGTTCTAGCAATGACTGCATATATTACACGAAATAAGAGCCGTGTTGTATGCGTACTGAATTTACGTATTGTGCCTGGCTGATAGGCAACATTGGAATAATTCTTCTGTATACGGCTTAAAATCACAGAACACAGAAAAGAGGTTAAAATGGATTGGAGTTAAAATCCATTCTTCCTTACATGATATATATTGGTAATTCTTGACAATTCATCATCCACTCTTACCACCTTAGCTGTCTGGTTCCAGTATTTATATATTTGTAGGTCTTTAAAGTAAAGACCTTATTTTAATGAGCAAATGAATTTATCGTGCCGGACTCCGTCGAAATCTATATGAAACGGGGAGCTACACGGAAATGGGGTTGCTTTATGAAAATGAAGCGATTACAAACAAAATAATATGTTTATTGATAAAACAAATAGGTATACAGATAACAGACACACCGCAAAGCTATTATGTACATGATAACAATTATAATTTTTTGTTTCCTGATCTTGTCGACCTTAATAGTAAAATTAACTATATTTCACACTTAATATACTATAGTTTTTAAATGTCACTTTTGTAATCTATTAAAAATTTACATCTAATAGCATTTATATCAATAAACACATTCTTTTGTGCTTGTTACCGTACATTTTCAGAAAACAATCCCATTTCCAATTACCTCTCTGCTTTTTGTTTGTTTTTGAAATCTATAAAAAGTAAAATAAACTGAAAGACTCAACAACACTACGTAATCTTAGATTATATATTCTCTCTAAGTATGTAATATTCAAAGATGTCCTGACTAATGTGCAACCATCCTAATAATATACTGTCATCTAAATGAAATCTGTATGCAAAATTTCATTTTAATAGTTACAAGACTACACCCGGTTTATAGTTAAGCACGCCACGAAGTGTATTTAAACGTCCCTTAAATAGGTTTTTGTTTCTGAGTTTAGATTTTTTCACGATCAGTTGATATCAGTTTGAAAAAAACTAGGACTTTTTGCCGTGTGAAAAGAAAAAAAAACTTAATTTATTGAAAATAATCAGTCGAGATTTTGTACTTTTCTTAATTCAGGAACCGGAATGTTAAATAAATATGTGATGTTGTTGAATTGTACATCACTCGCATACGATATATTATTTTAAGTATTCCTTTGGGGCTTAAGTGGTATTTTTGTGGAGAAATCTTTAAAATATCATATAAATCCAGTTCTCTATGATCAGAGGGTGTTTTTGAACAAACAATTTATCGGTAAATTTTGAAACATTCTTATAATTTTATTAAAATCATAACGATGAAGACAAATGATGTTGACCTTCGTAAAGTTCTTGGTTACATAGTAAATCACATATTTATTTTTTTCTATAAAAAAGAGTATAATATGGAAGACCACTATTTTTTGATTGTTTGTCGACACATAGAGATAAAACGTCACATGACGTCACGTACGCGTACATTTTCTACAAAACTGTGACGTAGCGAGCCCCCACACTTCAACTTTAATGTCTGTTATCTAAAATATTTCTTGTTAAATTGAGGTAAATGAAATACTTATCTGATATTTTTCTATTATCCGACTAACGGACTAAATAGAATTTCTAAGATAAGAAATATGAATTTTAATTTTATGATTTTCACCAATTTTAATCCACATTTTCACAGTGACAAGACCCTTAAAATATCATCTACCTTACCCATTTTCAATTACAGCTTGTTAAGTTAAGATTGAATTTCGGTTTAAGTCCCCACTTAATAAGTTAATAATGATGGGGTATAAGTGTGATCTCGTTTGTCTTATATCACTACATCGCATTTAAAATAGTAAATGGTTTCCTATAAAAGAGCAAGTACTTACTTATGACCGTCAAAATGGTCCGCTGGAACCGCGACCTTTCCAAGTAAGAGCGAGGCCATAGCGACCAATTGGACGCCGCGGTCACCCACATGAATAATGTTAAATTTAAATATATAAGTTGTTTTAAAGTTGCGTTGACGAGACCCTTTGACGACTGACACGAACAGAGAGAAAGGTTACAAATAAAATTAGGTTGAAAAAGATTATGACAATGTGGAAAATAAATATATTTTATTACTTATTTAAATATGAAATAATATGTAGGTAAACTTTGGCTCTTTGGAGCTATAATTTTTTTTTGCAAAATATAAAAAAAAATGAAATTAGGTCCTATTTTTGAAAAAAAAATATTTTTAGTGATACTTTTAAAGGTTTTAAAGAGGTATTACTAATATATTAAATATCTAGGTATATAAAAGAAATCATGTTTACATTACATAACGAAAGTTCTGAAATTTTTATTTATTTGTACGACGTAATCACAAAGAAATCGCTGAACATAATGTTACTACTTGCATAAAAAAATACATAAGTACGCGTTGAACATAGAAATTCTTCTTTTCGCATTTTTAATTAATAAAAAGTACGCTATCTGTTGTTTTTTTCGCTGAATATTTAACTCTCTGATGAAAAGCATATTTTGTTTTTGGTATAAAAACAAAATTACTGATTCGATTTCAATAAAATTTAAATGGGATCACCTCAGCCTATTATCGGGTAAATGTTACGTAATTTCCCTAATTCAAATAAAATAAAGACAGATAATGCGTTACAAGTTTCACAAATCCTCTTTAGTGTAAAAGTTTTTTATATTAAGCTACGAATAGATTACAAAAAATATGACTATAATATTAAAATTAACCAACTTGTGCAGTTTCAGGTAATTTTAGGCCACGTCCCCGATACGGCCCGGACACACCGACCTTAAACTTGGGTTACATAAACCAAACGTGTATGTTACAACAATGCGTCAGTTGATGTGGCGTGTTATAGATAACCTTAACATTATATATTTACATAATAAAAAGGTTAAATTACCCTTTCTTGATTGTATTTATGGGAAAAATTATATTTAGAAGTTCCAGTAGAAATGAGTATATTCAAATCTTGTATTCATTATGCCTGTATTTTTGAAATACCAACTTTAAGATCTTTTCTTAATTTCTTAGAAATATTGATTTCTATTTATGTATGTAAGATTATTATATAGTAAAATAAAATAACGATATCTAACTATTTAGATATCAACAAAAATATTGTAATCGTAAATTATCTAAATAAATATTTCACAAAAATATACAATATGTGTAAATATTGGATGCAACTGAATGGAAGTACGCTCACTGGCCCCTCTTTACCAAGAGGTTAGCAACTGTTACTGGCAAGATCGCGAATTTCGGCGCGCGGTGCTGCGTAACTAGGCCACGGCACCCTTGACCCACTGACTGACTGCCAGCGAGCGCACCCGCCATTGTTTTTCAACAATCAATAAATAATACACCGAGCAAAACTCTTTACACTCGCATTTGCACAATATCTGCTCGTTACGACGCCATATTGTGTGTTAGTTTTCGTTTTTCGCGCTGTTCGTTTTCTGACGTT